GTGAGTGAATGGTGTGTGAGTGAATGGTGTGTGAGTGAATGGTGTGAGTGAATGGTGTGTGAGTGTGCCCTGCCATGAGTTTGCGCCCCATCCTGCGATGTTCCCTGCCTTGTGCTCATAGGTTCCAGACCTGCCGCGACCCAGAATAGGACAAGTGGTTATAGAAGCTGGATGTTTGGATTTACATATATGTATATACATATATAAAGCTGTTAATGTATGTTAAGATGTTATGGTATGCTTACATGCTGCTTGTGAATGTTCTATGAATACATTATGAAGGTGCACTGAATGTTGTATGAATGCATTATAAATGCATTATGAAGGTGCCCTGAATGTTTATGAATGCATTATAAATGCAGTTTGAAGGTGCACTGAATGTTCTATGAATACATGATGAATGCATTATGAAGATGCAGTTAATGTAAAACATACACACGAACCTGTGATTATTTTCACGTGTGAGCTGAATATGAAATCGCATCACATAAATGTGAGGAAGCAGCCATATTCATTAGGTGATATCCGCTCTTGCCTCATCTAAATCATCTATCCTTATACATGTGAGCCCATTTCCATTTTCCACTGCTTATACTGGTCAGGGTGACCTGGAGCCGAGCGCAAGGCAGCACAGGGCACAAGGCGGGGGTCCGCCCTGGAGAGGCTGGCTGTCACAGCGTGCACACACAAACACACACACAGGTTTGTAATTATATCTTTGTGGGGACTCTCCATTTCTAAGGGGAAAACTCCTCAATCCCAACATGACGACCTTAACCCCTTCCAAGCCCGAACCTTAACCATAAGCAACCAAACAAAATACAAGACTCCACAGATACACATACGCAGAGGTTTGTAATTATATCTTTGTGGGGACTCTCCATTCATTTCTATAGGGAAACTTTTGGCATTATTACTTTTTTGATTGCGTTCACAGATCTTTGTGGGGACCTGAAAAATGGTCCCCACAATGTCAAAATAACAGGTGTTTATCACCTTGTGGGGAACATTTGGTCCCCACAATGTAATATAAACATAATACACACATGCATGCTATAGTGCCAATTAACCTCGCAGCATGCATTTGAACTGCATGAGGAAACCTGCATGACACTGGGAGAAGGGAGGATATGCAAGCGCCACACACATAGAGCAGAGGCGTGATTCAGACCCTCAGTACGAGCGACGGGGTTACACAGGGCGGGCCCATATCATGCTCATAATTCCTCACAACTCTGCATGTGCTGACAGCAGGAGAGTGCAAACACTCGGCACCCCGTTTGCAAGCATGTGCATTTCACTGTCAGGGCACACTGGCTTCACTGTCACTGCGTGCTGGCTTCACTGTCACTGCACTCTGACTTCACTCTGGCTGGGGAATCTGGGCAGTGCAAATCAACCCACAGGCAGCTGTCCAGGGCGTCGTCATCTGAGGGGATGCAGACAAGCCAGCTTCACTTTGTCTGGTGTGAAACTTGCCCAGGGTGCCACTTGGGCCTCAATTGGTACTACAATTTAACATAGTAAGTGCCGCTTATCTTCTTCGCAAACATATTAGCAGAGTTGGGTAGTTCAGGTCCAGAAAGTATAAATCCAGACCAAGATTTTCAACCAACCACTTGATTTCTCCGTGACTGTGCCTCTTTATACTCAGCTGGTCTATTGACACAAAATTTTGGTCTGGATTTTGCTGGACCTGAACTATCCACCTCTGCATACCAGCTTGCTAAAATCACCTGGATGAACCTGAAGTGTCTCACCCCCTAGTGGAGATCCCAACAAAATTTTCCGCCGATTTAAATAGCTTTTTGGAGAGTCGTGTTTGTTCGATTATGATTAGAAATGACTGTTTGTCCTGAGATCTTGACCACGACACACTGCAAAAACATAGACGGCTAGCCAGCTGTTCATGGAGCAGCATTTGCTCATGACGCAGCAGTGAGTAATGCAGACTGGCTGGCGTAAGAGGCATTGATAAGGAAGGCCAATTTCAGACGGAATTCCACTTCTGCCAGTATCTTATTCGGTACAGTCACGGGACTTGAAACTTAGCATACGCGGCTGTCGATAGGGGAATTCCATGTAAGGGAGATCAGTCATACAATACACCAATTATGTGTTTTTTCCCTCAGAAATAATTATAACGGATATTTAACCGCAGATAAAACTGTACAATTAGTTCAGTCATTATATCTTACGAGAGAAATCTTCATTTTAATTTTCAGAATACTGGAAGGAAAATCATTTGGAAAAGTGCAACATATTACATACAAATGAGATATCAAGACTGAGATATTAATATGTAATTTCAGAATTTGGTAGTAATGAAAGATCCAAGATAAAATTCAGGATCTTGAGATCTTGATATTTTATGGATATACAAAAACAATTAAAGTATACATAAGAAATTACCCTGTTTCCAGTTACACCTATGCCTTTACACCCAAACTGTCCACTGCATCAGAGAAAGCATTTGGCGAATAGCCGAGATATCAGCTTGTTTATAGCTGAGTAAACCCAGCTAAAGCTTCTGAACAGAATAATAGAGATATGGTCTGTTATTCGGCCAAGCTGATTAGACCTGTACTTGACGGTATACAATAATAATCACTACAGAAACCACCCTAACAAAGCTGTGCTCCTGGATTAAAAAATAAAGGCAGCAGATTCTTCATGAGGCGTTCGGCCTACTTGTTTCCTACATATGGCAGATTAAGTATGTCTGTCCAGACAGTGAACAATATTTCATCTAAAAAAATGACGTGATTTATGCACTATGGTGCAAAAGTCTTAGGCAGTCAAAGAAAGTGTTTGATGCTATTTATCTGGGCACTAAGTGTGTGTTTCCTAAGGAAGCACAATTTAACGTTAGAGCATATTTAGATTAACAGTAATACAATAAATCACAAACAAGATAAACTACAAAATTTCTTCTTTTCTCCAAAAAGTTACTGATATCCTGTTGGACAGCTAGATGAAGACCGCTTCAGTTCCCAAATCTCTCCTCAGGGGCAGCCCAGGTTTACATAGAGTCAAAGCTCAGTAAATACATGGGTGTTTTGGACGGTTCCTGCAAATTCCAGTGGTGACTTTATTAGAGGCTCTGAAATGGCTAAACTGACACATTTTGTATGTAGAATCTGTCATGTATAATTGTTTTGACTGCCTGAAACTTTTGCACAGTACGGTATATTTGCACACATTAACATAAACTGCATACATGACCATAATTCGCCATCCTTACGATACTACGGAAATTCCTTTTGAGTTAATCGATTCGGAATGATCCCATATTCCTGAAAAGGAGAGGCTGTAAATGCACTGAAAAACAGTGGAGACTAAATGCACAACGCACAGAGACCCAGACAGACTGAGGAATAAAAACCTTTTTGTGGGATACATACAGTCGTTTCTTTCTTGTCTGTATCAGACATCTTGTCTCAAAAAAAAAATGACGTGGGTGTCATGCAGTGCAACATAGACCATCAAATTATTAAAAAAAAATTGCTTCAAGAGTCTATTTTTTCTGGTATCGGTTAAAACTGTCAAGAACATAAAATGGTCTTTTCTGTGGCTGCAGAGTGGTATTCTGGGTGGGGATAGAGCCCGCAATGGCATGATTACAGGCTCGCGGGATGGGTACTGCTATCGCGCCTTTCAGCTGCCTCTATAAACTGGGTAGCTAGTTGTATAAATAGGCAGAACCAAAAACTGGTTTGAGTGTAACTATTGGTTACGCAACATGACCTTCTCTGGAGAGAGGTCTTTGTAACCCTTCAGGTGACATGTTCTGCTCATGGAAAATTCTGGCTGATGAAAGAATGTCATTTGCAAAGCCTCCTCGATGGACTTACAGAGGTATTTTTGCGGAATATAAACATTTAGTGGAACATTAAGAATGGCACCAGTCAGACAAAATGGCTTGGAAGTTTGTTCGGCACATTAGGGGCAGTGATGTCCGCGGTGCTTTCGTAAATCACAAGAGTAAGCAGCTCATATTGGCTGTACAGTTTGGTAACAATTTAGTTTTATGGATTGCACTTTATCAGACGTGCAAACCCACCAGCAACGCCCCCCCACTAAACGGACTGTATTATCAGCTGCCAAAAAAAACAGGGGCTCCATTAAACGCATACTGAGGCAGTCTTGGCTGCTACTCTGTCACATCACCGCAGAGTCCCCCAGAACAAAACATGGTACGGCTTGGCTCTCTGGGTTCTACGTGGAGAAAATGGTGCGAAGCGTGTTCCATCCAGAAAATACGGGGGTGCGGCGGCCCCTCTGATCTGTGGTAAAGTGACTGCCTCACAGCGTTCACAGTTGGTCATGACTACTGGCCGGTGACACACTTGCAGACACCGTCAGTAACTGCAGAATGACAGATTGGCGTCGGGTTTAAATAAATACACTTCCAGTAATGATGCCAAGTAAAAAAGAAACTGAAGCTAAAAACCAGGGATCCTCAAACAAACAAGCCCTGTTTTTTCTCAGCCCCCATTTTCCTTCCAGTAACACAGCTGTTCTGTCAGGAGGATCAAGAGGACAAGACTCAGCTGTATAACATTCTGGCAGAGTGGATGGCGGTACGTCCTGCCCAGGAGAAAGCAAGGGCGAAAGTGGCCCGCGCCTCCATGCCTCCGTGCCTCCGCGCCTCCGCGCCTCGCTCCCCCGGCAACCCCACTGTGAACACGGGTGCGACTGCAAGCTTCCCTGTCCACGGCAGACGAGCGGCTCCTGAGCAGATGAATCACAGGGCAGCTCAGACTGGAAAACAAAGATCATCTTTATGTATTTTAATGTTATTTTTTTATTATTTGTGCATTTGAACTGCGGGAAAAAATCTGCTAAATAAAAGGCACTCAGGTAAAAAGCATTACTGATAATGGTTTGATGAAGCAAAAATGAGTAACTGCTGCAGCTGCTTCTGTTGTGGAAAGTTTTGGGAACAAAATGAGTGTAATGTAACTGGCGAGGTGGAGAAATGGATGTCGGATGGACGGTGAAGGAGAGCAGCCCCCCCCCCCCCCCCCCCGCCCCCTGCTGAGAGAAGCCTGCTACAGCAGGTATGATGAGGGGTAAGTACCCCGACTCAGCTCGGCCTGCTTAATGTCTGCGCAATTTGCCATTGTCTGCGGAAATGTGAGAGGACACACTGACCGGGCACTGCGGAGCTGGCAAGGGGAGAGCGAGAGTTGGGGGGGCGGGGGCTCAGATTATCACTCCAGCAGGACCCCATGAAGAGTTAAACCTCTGATAGATGGGAAGGGATGGCAGACTGACTGAGGGAGAGCCATTATTTCTCAGGGATACAACCTGCTTCACCCTGGTCTGCTCCATCTGTGTCTCGTCAGCCATATTCTTTGTGGTAGATGCTCATGCCCAGGTTATAGAAATCTTGGTCCCCCCCCGCCCAAGTTTATATATAATTTTATGTATTCATGGACCCCTGTAAAGTGCTGGATCTGCCAGGGTGTCCATGCCTCTCCGACACCCCTGGTTCCTCCTATGCACCTCCCATGTCTTTTACTAGAATTCGAGTGCCTTTCTAATGGCTTTCATATGCCGCTTTGGACGGCGGAACTAACCTGCATTATTCACCAGCAGAGTCATTCAGGTTTGAATCAGTGAACTATACCAGTAAATAATCTATGTTTTAGGTCAATCCAGCTGCTTGAAAAACCAATTTCCAAGCCTCGGGATGATGTCTAGTGGTTTCTGACTGGAATTTCCACAAGGAGAACCAGCTTTAAAGAAGCAAATGACAATTTGCCTGCCTGAGATGATAAGGGGGCCGACGTGGTGGAGCCTTGGACATCCGAAGTTTGGCGTCGAAGTGAAAAAGAATTTAGATACCGTACACTTTTGGCCTTCTACAGCGCTGTTTATTTTTGTTCCTAAGAGTCTAAAAGACGCGAGTATATTTATGCTTATTGTCATTGAGCTTTGTGATAGCCGTTATCGGTGTCCTTCTAGGTGTCTGTCACTCGTCGTTAGTGAGTCTTTGATTGTGCGTCTTACAGTATATCAGACACACAAGCTGAAGACAGCAAGCAGCACAGGAGGCCTGGGGTATCGAACCTGCCATCTTCACCTGCTGCCGGTCTCGCCCATCAGCTCCCCCCCCCACAACGTCACCCATCCCATATGCTGTCATCTTTTGCTCTGTTTTTCCCATGATTACCTGTTGTTATTTATTTATTTGGCCTTTTGTCTCACACATGTCAAAATGCATGCACACACACACACACACACACAGCCGGGTAAACATATCTTTTTGGGGATCGCTCATTCATTTCTATGGGAAAAATGCAAACACTAACTATGACGACCTTATCCCCTACCCAGCCCTAACCATAACCATAAGCAACCAAGCAAAATACAAGAGTTTTTGCATTTTTATTTATTATTTAGATTTTTATAAAACTGAGTTATCCCTTAAAACTGCTTCCCATAAGGGAAAAAAAACATGTATTCATCACGTTGTGGGGACATTGTGTCCCCATAAGGTAAGGTATATATATACACACACACACACACACACAAACTGATACAAGTAAGTCCATTCCAGCTGCCCAACATTAAGGGACTTTCAAGCTTTGCAGGTTGTATCTGTGGCCATTAGTTAGCCAGGAGTAAGCCTATTGGATATTACATGATCTGTGTTAAATTTTTTACCCACACATGTTATGTATTACGTAAATTATCAGTCACATCTGTAAAAACAGTCTGCAGCAGAGCTTCAAATATAAAAGGAGAAACATGAATATGTTAGTTTGTTGCTTGTTATATTATTTTAGAACATTTGTAGGATGTGTGCAGCAGATTATGTGTTTTGATTGGAAAATGAATCTACAATAAGGTATAATAGACTGTGGACTCGTCTGGTTGTTGATGAAGTAATAGGCGTGTATCGTTGACCTACAGAATGAAAGTGCAGGAACAGAAACAAAGGATCATAGTGCTCACAAAGTTTTTGCCGTCCGTCCTTCAGGCTTTCAATGCACTTAACAGTAAAAATTAAACAGTATTTTCAAATGGAAATAGATATATACTCTATGTGCTTGATTTAAATTCAGCAATGACCAAGAACTTCTTGACCGAAAAGTCCACAAAACCCAAGCACTTAAAATGAAAAAATAAAATGTATGCCGTCGCAATTAATTAGCTTTTATTCAATAAACAACACTACCGTTGGAAAGAATTTTCTGCGGTGGTAAACCAAAACGAATGAAAGTGTCATTATTCCTGCTCTTATAAATCATTGCGTAGGTATTTCCAACATTTTTTCTTCGCGACACCACACTCCTTTCACTTTCAATTTTCTTTCTGTTTCTCCTACTCCTTCCAGCGTCTTTGTCGCCCTTCCCACATCTCACCGTCCCCAAGTCCCTCATCCTTCTCCCCTTCCCGTCTTCCTTGTCTCTAATCTTACTGTCGGATCTGCTACTATTCCCCCTTTCCTTCCCCATCCTCGTCTTCCTCTCTCGTCTGCCTTTCGGGATTTTTTCAATCCGAATAGTTTTTGGACCTTTCTGGCGGAGTTCTCTTTTTTTTTTTTTTTTTTAACTAAGGGGCGATCGATGAGCGTTATGTCCTGCATGGATTACAAACGCTACAGTGAGATACAGAAATTGTTTGGTGCGCATATCAAATATTATGACCTATGTAGTGAGTGTTTAGTGAGTTAGTATTGGTCTAAGTCGGAGTGTGTGGATGCAGGGGGCGGGGGTGCTTCTCAAGGGTGAAATATGTGAAGACGGCTTCGAGCACCAGCTGCAGATCAAGACTCAATTTTGCTGTAACCCACGTCAAACAGACCTTTCCACCGGTAGGTCAGACCTTATATTAGTTCACGTTTTGAGCGTTAACTGGTCAATTGACCGTTTTTCATCAAGGTATCCCATCGAATGCCTTACTGTATACCATTTTTAAGATATCGGCATATAAACAAAAGTCTTATGTTTGCCTTCAGTTCTTTATTGGAGGTTTTGCATAAAAAGCAAATGTACTGAAGTACAGCAAGTGCACAGCTAGTGCACGTGCAGCGTAGGGTTATAAGGTGCTCCGGTGACTATAAATCGCGCCGTTTCTTGGTTGTACTGTGAGTAGTTGGATGATTAGTTTTTGTGCAGTATTGTTTAAGATTAGCACTCGCAGAAGAGGGTATAACACGTTTTTTGAATTTCTCCAACAGAGTAGGCAGTGGGTCAATGAACAGCCCCAACATCAGGCAGCGGCGGACTGCTGGTCACCATTCGGCGAGCCGATTGTCCGTCCCAAGCGGAGCCTCGGTATCAGCAGCATTTCTGGTACCGTCCTGACTTCAGAAACGTCCTGTAAGCTTCGATTAAGTCCTTCGGGTTATTACTGAGAGCAGGTAGGTGGGGAAGATACCGAACCATCCATTAACTTGGATTTGCCTGTGTTGTGCCTGTTAAACGTGCCGCACTCTTTAGGTATGCCTTCGTATGCCAAAGACCAAAACATGACTGGCAATTGAATGTGTTATATAGTTTTATCTAACAAATGTGTTTATTTGATTAGTTTTGAGTTTTCCCCCCAAAAACTACTTTATCCATAGTTCTACTAATACACATGATATTGGAAAAATGTATATTAAGTACCTTATTTAAGACTATACATCTGCCGATTCATTGGGATGCTGCGTACTTTGAGTCCTTTCATTAATTCAGCTGCTGCAGTGGGGTCACTTGCAAAACAGAAATAACACATGGATAGCGGATCCGTCGCTACACACTACTGCTCCAGTTATGGGCTACGGGGAGGGAAAGAGAACCGGACCTCCTTTGAAATACGTCTTTCTCTCTTTTACAAGTTAGCTTTTCAAATTTAGACGAGTGCTTTAAAGAGTGCGTTGCATGCATGTAAATAACTTGTTAAAGTTAAGTTGTTGGTATTGTGTAGATCTTACCTGACTTTTGAATTAATAATAATGATCAAAGTGAAAATTAAAATGACAATAGTAATAAGGATATTTATCACCACCATTATCGTTACCTTGGCATTCTGCTTACTTTCTGTGCTCCTCACTCACCGCCAGCATGTCCGGAAGCCACTAAGGCCAGCCTAGGAAAATGAGAACGGTGTGGATCCAAACGTCTCTCTACTGCCTCCTACTCCTGGAAGCGAGGACTGCAGGTGCGATATGTATGTGGCGACTGAGACTGTTTCCCTAAATAGCGTGCAGATGGATGAACAGCAGATTGCAAGACAGTGTTACACTATAAGTTGTTCTTTAGGTATTACTTTATCTAGTAATTCATATTGATACAGTTCTCTCTTCATAGTTATAGGGTTTAGCATACAGGGTGGTACTTAATTATTAATTATCTCTACATTTTTTGTTTTCATTTTTGTTTTCAAAATACCTTTTGAGACATTTATTGCCTTTCCTAGTGTGCTTTGCACAGGTGCAGTGCTCAGTTTCTCCAGTAGGGGCACTGCACCCCGTGCAGGGTCTGCTGGAGCAATTTGGGGCAGGGCCTGGATGTGCGGCCAGGGAGAGCAGCGATAAGGAAACCCACGTGATCTCTGTGGGCGGAGCCTCTCCTGGCCAGCCCAATCAGGTGCTCTCGAACATTCATGAATCATCCAGCCAATCAGCATTCTGATACCACGCACCTGCTAACCACACTCCCACTCCCATCCCCATCAGGTGACCGTGCTGCTGCGTCCGCTGTCTTTCTCCCACCCGCCTGTCCGGCCCGTGACACTGGTGCTCAGCTCCCAGCATGCTGTGTCCTGGTGGCTAGAGGGAGAGAGACTGCCTGCCAATCTGGTAGTGATTGTGCAGGTCAGCCTACCTGTTGGGTTGAAAGGGCTCCCCCTGCTGGTGAAGACATGCATAATATGCAAACTTAATTAAGTAGCTGAGCAAAGGAAATAAGAATATAAGAAATTTACGAACGAGAGGAGGCCATTCGGCCCAAAATCAATGCGAATGGTGAAGATGATGATGATGATGATGATGATGATGATGGGTGACACTAGCTCTACCTGCCAGATGTCGGCCTTCTCTGACGTCCAAACACGTGGAATGGCGGTCCAAGTGCGGCAGGTTCCGTCGCTGCCTTGGCGGCCATGGCTACTGCACCGCTGGGTCTTAAAGAACCACTCGTCCCTGTCGTCCCTCAATCACGCGGAGCGCGCTAATCGGGTCTACCTGCGACTTGGGGAGGGTAAGTCCTGCAGTGAGACACATGGGGGAGCTGGGGTCACAGCCTTCGTTTAAAGGGCTGTAAATCTGGTCATTCAGATATTTTATATCTATGCCGTGGAATAAATGGAGACCTAAGTCGGTCTCTCTCTGTCTAACCTGATGCCATCCTGCAGACCCCACCATGCCCAGCGAGTGCCAGCTGCAGTCCCTCTTCCTGTCCCACAGCTACATGACCTCTGACCTGCAGCTGCAGCCTATCAGGGGCTGCCTTCCGCAGAGGGGCGGTGCCAGCACGGAGGTCGAAGTTCATGTGATCAGTCTGCAGTCAGCAGGTTCTGGAATGTGTGGGTGAGCTTTCGGACGGACACCCCGGAAGAAGCCACTTGTTCTGTTAAATTATTTAGGTTTGATGACCAAAGAGTCCTTGTAGATTTAATTTGCGCCTTTTCACTTGGCATTTATATGCCTGTCTGGGGACTGTTTTCTCTCCTGCTCCCAGTTCAGTCTTGGTGCGTGTTTATCCACACCAGCTGCTTCTGTAAGCTTCTGTGAGTTGCTTGCCTCATAAACACAAGCTGGGGCCTCCCCCCACTCATATCTCAGCTCACTGCAGGTGGAGGTACCCATCTCAGTGCTGCCCCCAGTGGGCACTGTCGGCTGGTACGAGTTGGTGCTGGTCCTTAGCAGTGCCACACCGGTCAACTGGGCCTTGACCGCCATCGGGCTGCAAGGCCACATCTCGGTCTACGTGAGTATCCCATCATGCATTTAGAGCAGTGTTTCCTCCGCCAGTCCTCAGGAACCCACAGACAATCCACATTTTTGCTCCTACCAGGAGCTGGGAGGGTGCAAAAACATGGACCGTCTGTGGGTCCCCCAGGACCGGATTGGGAATCAATGATGTAGAACACCTACAGCAGTCATGATCAGGGCATTAGCTCTACCGCTGCTATTTTGATGGAAACCTTTTCTGTTTTACAGTCATCCAACACGGTGTCCCCCCTTTACCCCTCCGAACCCGGGCTGACGATGACCAGCACTGTAATACCCAGCCTCTATAAGACCCGCGACCTTTTGGCCTGGGCTAAACAGCACGGCCTGCCAGCGGTGACGTCATACACAGAGGCCGATCTGGCCAATCGCTTCACCATCAGGCTGGCTGGGGGCGGGGCCGGTGAGAGCTATGCTTCAGTTAATTGGAGTGTGTAGCTTAGGGCGTGGCCGTGTGGGTAGGTGTGCGACATGCTTTATTCCCCCCTCCCGGTGTGCAGAGTACATCCCCACCATGCAGTCCCAGGCTACGTGGGTGGAGGGCGCCCCCCAGTGGGGCCAGGAGCGCCGGCTGAGGCAGTGGCTGAGCCAGCAGGAGGAACCGGGCGCAGCGGACAGAGATGCCAGCGGGTCTGTCAGCACACAGTGCCAGGACGGGCTGCTTCAGGTGGCCGTCAACACGGACGCCCTGCAGGTAGGAGTGTGACTGTGAAGAGCGCTGTGGCAGGAATGCCACCTGAGGGTCATAGGTTCATATCCCATGAGACTGCGCTGTTGAACTCTTTGAAGATGCTGTGAGATATGGGTACCAATAAATGAAAGACACGTTGCACATAATGGTGATTAAGATACTTATTTATAAGCATAAACAAGCTGCAACCTACACATTGAGTATTTGCTTAAACATTTTCTTATATCCTTACTTTGTTAACATATTACTGTAATTGTGTTTTCCTTTCTCTGCCCTGTCTGCTGCGCCGTCTGCATTAGCAGCAGTTTCTCTGCTGGTGCATCAGTACATTCATGCATGTGACACATAAAATTCTTAAATTTCCTCTGGGATCAATAAAGTTTTTCTGATTTTCTGATTCTGAAATCTCGTGCATTATTACATTATTACTGACTTCTCGTCTTTGTTTCGCTGCCGTTTTAAACATCTGGTGCATTTTTCATGTTCATTTTCTCAAATAAAGTTGCCGGTCGTCTCCTCCGTGCCCCTTCCCCTCAGCCACCTTTCCCAGTGTCGGCCGTGACGTTGAGTGACCATCGGTGCCAAGCCCGGTTCAATGGCAGCCACTTCCTGTTGGTTTTCCCTGTCATTTTCTGTGGGACCGAGGCGGTAATGGAGACGCAGCCTAAAGCAGTATGGTACAGAAACACGGTAAGGATACGACGGATGCAGCCAGTAGTGTTGCCTTGTGCTTCTGGGATTGTGGGATTGTGGGATTGAATATTGCGGGTTCTGTTTCCATGTCGATGGGCCCAAATAGAATTTTGGTTCATCAGCATTTCTACGTCGCCCCAAGTGTGCGAGTGTGTGAGTGGGATACCTCCCCAGGGTGAAGTGTCAGTTGAGTTTAATTATTGAATCACTTATAAAAAACAACAAGTTGTAAAAAAGAATAAGGGATTTTGTGTATTAATCACAGAATTATTTCTGTTTGTTTTTTTGATGTTAGCTCCTGCTCTTGTGTTTAAGGGGAGCGTGTGTCCGAGGGGGGGGGGGGGAAGAAAGGAGGAGATAGTTTGCGGGCACGATTTGAGTTGTCTGGTGGCTGATAAGGCAAGTTAATAATAAAGAAGTTCAGCTGAAGGTGACCGGAGGTTATCCTCTATACCAGGGGTCACCAACCTTTTGGAAACTGAGAGCTACTTCACGGGTACTGAGCCATACGAAGGGCTGCCAGTTTGAAACACCCTCCTAAACTTATCTAAACTTCATGTATAATAAACATGTTTTAAATGCTTTTTTTAAATTATTGTCATTTTCAAATCTATATAAATGCAAATGTGATTAAAGAAGAATAGCAACAGGATAAAATTACATTTTAGACGCTGCTCACTGGTGAGTTGTGCTATTTTTAGAACAGGTCCGCGGGCAACTCATGTGGTCCTTGGGGGTATCCTGGTGCCCGCGGGCACCATGTTGGTGACCCCTGCTGTATACTACCCGTAGTGAATATTATCAGGTACAGATGGGTGAAGAGGCCAGTCAGGTCCTGGTCTGTGGTCTCCAGGCTTATCACAGCGTCTTGTCTTTGCAGAAAGGATGTTGTGGATGAGGGAGAAATCAAAAGACAATTAACCGGCCTGGATGTCAACGACTGAACGTTCTTATCTCCATAGACCAGGGACCGAGTGACGGCAAAGTGTCACTCGCCACAAGCTGACAGGGGACGAAAGACAAGTTCAGTGCAGCCCAGAAGTGAGCGTGATCGGTGCTCTGTGTGTGTGGTGACAAAGCAGACGTCTGCCGCACGGGGACAGGGACTTGGAGGAATGACCCAGGTCGGCATGTCCAGGCAGCCGTAATTCGCACAAACATCACCGCAGTGAGCGAGGGGCGCAGGGAAAGAACAGCATGTTCCGGAATGAGACGGGGGTGGCAGGTTATTTAAAGGAAAGCGTGGCTGTAGGTTTGAATCTCTGCTGCATTACTGCTGTCATGGTCCCTGTTTACTGTAACAATGATTAATGTTGATGACATAAATGATGGATGATATGGTCACATGTCTTCTTTCCCATCATGCCTCAGGTGTTGCTGTGGAGAGAGAGCCCCGTGGATGCTGAGCGTAACCGGACAGGGGAGGATTGGGCCCCGCTGATCATATATGTGAGGAGGGCTTGCTCATAGGGGCTCTGCTGCCTTGCCTGAGGTGGTCAATGTCATCTGCCTGCTTGTGGGCGGAGTTCTGCCTGCTTGTGGGCGGAGTTCTGCCTGCTTGTGGGCGGAGCTCACTCAGAGAGACTTAAGTGCTGTTTTCTTTCTCTGTCCTGCTCCAAAGGTCAACTGCCAGGATGTGACCCCCGTCCCTACCCCAGCCAATCAGGGAACAGCTCCCCCTCCCCACCAGGCCTCCCCCAGAGGCCTCTGGGCCCAGCAGGAGGCCAGGTCAGAGGATTCGTCAGACAGACACCCGTCTCTAGCACCCCTGTCCATGCGTCTGTCTGTGACAGAGGGGTTCGAGAGGAAAATGACGGGACCCTACATCATCATGGCCAACAGCCGCGTCCACGTGGAGGTGAGTTCTACCCTCGACTTGTTGTACACATCTCACTCCGAGGTGCGTCATTATCTTCCAAAGACTGATTAGGATTTTTTGAATACTGTCTGTTTAATACTGTCCTTTAATTGTGCTTTAACACCATATGTTTTCTTTAAACTATGTGGTGTAAGTTAAAAAAGCATAGATTGTATAGTTATGCTATTTTTATTTAATACTTTTTAATAACATTTTTCCTGTGGAAACAAATACTCAAAAACACAAGTGTTTCACAAATTCAGAGCCCTCTGTACATGTAAGGGTTACTGGCTGGCACTATGTGATTGACCAATGAAAATCAGCCGACATCCTGCTGACCAATCAGATTTGGGAATTCAGCAGCGTTGCGGTATATAACTGAATAGCTGAGGCCTGGGATTTGTGAGAAAGCGGGGCCCTGCTCTGCATGCCTGTGTCCCCAGCTTCATGTCCCGAGTGCTGTGATGTCATCAAAATGAGCCCACCCCCCCCCTTCCCCTCCGAACCCCCTCAGGTGTCTGTGAGGGAGTTTCTGAGGGGCAGCGTGGAGGTCGAGTCCTGCGTGGTGTCCCCGCTCTCGCACCCTGAAGCCTCCCCCAGCTGGATGGTTATCCAGGACGGTTGTTCCTACGACCCTACGGTCAGGCTAAGCGGAGAAGGGGGGCACCAGGGCTACGGTGGCGGGTGGAGGCAGGACACAGCGGGAGACGCAGCAGGAAACGGGGCGACAGAGAAGGAGGAGGAGAAGCGAGGGGCAGAGGAAAGAGGAGGAGGAGAGGAGGCCCAGGACGAGGAAGGAAAGAAGGGAGAAGGAGCGGTGAGCGCGTCTTGGAGGCTGAGGTTCAGTTTCATCCTCCACCCCATCTACAACAACCCCATCCAGTTCCTGCACTGCCAGCTTCACCAGTGTGATGCAGAAGCTGCCCCCACTTCTCCCAGTCCCTCTGGGGAAACTGCAGCGGCTGGCTGTGGGGAAGGAATCCGCGTCCCTGCTCTCGTCGCTCAGCCAAATCGCAAAAAGGTACAGTAGCCCCAAAATGAGGAGGCCCACAAGCGCAATACCTCTGTCATCTGAGTCTCCTTTTTTTTCCCCTTCAGTGCCACTACAGGACACTGTCTAGACCAGTGGTGGTGACTCAGCCTGTGGGAGTGCGTCAAACCCTGCCACCTGTTGGTCAGTACTGCACATTGCAGCTTTTCCCATTCACACTTTAAAAACTATTAAAACATATAAAATTTATATAATGGAAAGATGTTGAGCAAACGGATGATAAATATATAGCAATTGTGTTATATTTGTATATGCTTTTATAGATGCATTTGTTAATAATATTTAGCATGTTGCAGTAATGCTGATGGACAGTCTTGGTCCCCATTGTGTATAGTTCAGTCAGTTCTCAGGCCCAGAATGACCACAAAGTCTAAGTCCAGTGCTGCAGACTTGAGTAAGTACCTGTTTTATACTTCACACATCTCTCACAGCTTTTAAAAACCTGACTTGCTGTCTCCCTGGCATGTTAGTATTAAATAGCATAGCATGGCATAGCATAGCATTGTATAGTATAGTATAGTATGTTAGTATAGTATAGTATAGTATAGTATAGTATGTTAGTATAGTATCTTGTTTATATATTAACTAGCATACATAACTGAATTGAAAATCTGTCCGATGCTTTTGTCACTCAGGCAGTGGAATCGATACTGGCCCAGTGGTGGGGATTGTATTTGCTGCTTTCCTGATGGGTATCGGTCTAATGGGGGCGCTGTGGTGCATCCACAGTCACACAGGTAGCGTTACATTTATGTCTTATAAATACAGTTAAATATTCAGAGTAACTACTGTTTTCATGGTAGCACACACCCGTTCATTGAAAGCTAAGGAACCCTGATCAGCGGCTTGTGATTGGCTGTGTGTCAGGGATGAGCCCAGCTTCCAGAAGAGGCAGCCTCCTTGACAGTATAGCCCAGCCCGCCGCCAGCAGTCGCCCTGCGCTGATGGAACACTCCAGCAGCTCTGTGTGAAGGTAATAGCTTACATTTATATAGCGCCTTTCACAATCACAAGGTACGCCCAGATTAACCCTCTGCTGTTAGCGCCAGGGAAAGCGTAGCATAGCTACTGCCGATATAAATAATAACACCTTAAAACAAACGTGTTACAAATATAGAATATATTCATAGTTTTGAAAGAGCTGCTGGACTATCATCCTTACTCAACCTTGTTTAGTGACTAAAATGGCAAACTTTGATCAAAATAACCATCCTGCATTATAACCAAAAAAGAATAACAGACGTGTTGCCCAAACAGGATGAGAATAAGTATCACAACAGTTAAATAATTATATTATTAATCATTTAAATTGTATCTGTTTCCCTTACAGGTTGTTTCACTTTTTGAAAAGGTCAGAAAAAGAATGATTTCCTGTGTGTGTGTGTGTGTGTGTGTGTGTGTGTGTGTGTGTTTGCCTAGATCACATTTGAGGACCAAATTGTCCCCAAAGTGTAGTAAAACCTGAAATTTCCATAATTTTGGGGACATCTTTTGAGGTCCCCATTTGGATAACCTCAGTTGTATAAAAATCTGTGAATGCAATCAAAAAAGTAAAAATGCCAAAAGTCTTATATTTGGGTTGGTTACTTATGGTTAAGGTTAGGGATGGGTAGAGGTTAAGGGTGTCGTGATTGGGATTAGGGTTTTTCCCATAGAAATGAATGAACGGTCCCCATGTAGATAGGAAGACCAACCTGTGTGTGTGTGTGTGAGAGAAAGAAAGAGACAGAGAGATAGGGTCTGAAGGAGAGAGCAGTGAATGACAATAAGCACCAGACATTCAGGCGGGTGTTTTACCCTGAGATTCTACCCTCCCAGTCCTGCTCCTGCTTATGTTTTTCCTCTGAGCTCTCTAGCTAAAATTCAGCCACATATCTGCGATAGCAAAAGAGCTTCAAGGTGAAGTAAAGATTAAAGGGGTATCTGGGCCGACCCACGCAAGCCGAGCTCGCTGTCAGGGCACAGATTCGCAACGCAAGTCTGCAACGAAAGCAGTGAATAAGTCAGCCGATAGTGTATACCAGTATGAGGATTGTAAAGTTTGTATATTTCAGCTTAGCATATTTTTCCCTATCAGACTTGTCTCTCAATAAATTACCTGTGATATGTCTGATTATAACTGTGTCTTTTTGTGAATGAAACAAGGATTGATTTTATTATTGAAAATAATTCAGGACACAATTTTATTTGATGCTTTACATCCATAACAATCTTTTTGTGATGAATCCACTGATACGATAGATGTCTGTATTGCAAAATGGTTGCTCTTTGGTGGTTATTCAAACATGCAGAGGTGGAAATTTCAGGTCCAGAAAGTAAAAATCCAGACCAAGGTTTTGTTTGAACCAACCATTTGAGCACTCTGTGACTATGACTCTTTATGCTCAACCGGTTGGTTGAAACAAAATCTTGGTCTGAATTTTTACTTTCTGGACCGGAAATGTCCACCTCTGCAAACATGTAAACATTCAAAATCTGCTGCCACAATGGTAGAAGGCACTCAGGACCTCTGATTTATGACATACACCCTCTTGGGTGTTCAGTGCAGTACGTGTGTGTCTGTGCTTGTTGCCTGTATTCTGTAAATTGCCCTGTATGTATCCATGTAAGTGTATGTCAGTATGTGTGGCGTGCTGTATGGTGTAGGTGCTGTTCTCTCTGTACTGTTTGCAGGGGTGGTGTCTGTGAGCTATATGTGCCTGAGTGATTTATGTTGCATGCCCTGAGGTTGTCCAATTTAATGTGTCCCTGGGTCAACAAGGGAGGGGTTTGCATTTCACTTCTTTAACCAATCACAGTCTTCATTGTATGACGTCACCACCTTCAGTCAAGCCAGTGATTTCTGTTAAGCGGCAAGGTGCACAGATTTCTAACGTACCTGTTTCATTTGTGTATGCATTTTATTAAGGGGCATTTCATAGATAGACAGACAAAACATAGGAACATGCTCACCTGCAAAGGCTGCATGGAGCAAAATAACGGTGCGTCTTTATTTAATGATGATAATAGTAACTATAATAATAATAACAACAATAAAAAGCCTTGAACCAGCAATCTTGTGATCACAGGCACCGAGGCTTAGCTTGAAAATTAAAAAAAAAAAATGGCCCAATGTGGTGATGTCATACGATGTAGCCTGTGATTGGCTAAAGGAGTGAAACACAAACCCCTCGCTTGTTGGCCCGGGGACACATCGAAGTCGGCACATTCAGGATGTCTGCTTTATGTCAGGGTGCCCACAGCAGGCTGTTGGGGGGCCTGTTGCTGCAGTGGAGCTCCTGGTGGCGCCGCAGGTCCGTCCTGCGCTGAAAGCCGCGCTGGCAGCTGTCGCAGGGGAAGGGCTGGTGGCCGGTGTGCTTGCGGCAGTGGGTCAGCAGGTTGGAGCTCTGACTGAAGGCCCTGCCACACACCTTGCACACGTGGGGCTTCTCGCCTGGGGGGCAGAGAGCAGATCCTGGCCGGCCGTGTATGTCTTGTGCGTCGCCCGTGTACAGAAACTCAACTAAAGCCAGAGGTGGGTAGTTCAGTTCCAGAGATTAAAAATCCAGACCAAGATTTTATTCCAGCCAATCAGTACTCTGTGACTGTGACTATTTATACTCAACTGGTTGGTTGAAACAAAATCCTGGTCTGGATTTTTAATCTCTGGACCTGAATTACCCCCCCTGACTAAAGCTAGGATGACCAGATGATCCATGTCAAGATGGACACTTTGAGCGACTTTGGGTTCTGCAAACTTCTTTTAAACTGAAAGGCTCCTGCGCTTTGCTAAATACTTCAGTTCATCTTGTGCTTTGGTTTGTTTCCTTGATTAAAAGACTCATCCAGCTGTGTCACATTAACATTAGTGACACATGCATGATTATGGGAGACTGACCAATCAACACACAGCAAGAAATCAGTGCTTAAGTGAAATCCTGGTGCTTTTGATTGAAATGACAAATTACATCATCATGTCCTAGCTCAGAGTGTCCTCCCTGACGTGCACTATCTGGTCACCCTTACTAAAGCACAATTAACTTAATTTTTGGTTGGAATTTTTTTTTTTATGTGATATGAGAATTGAAGAACAAACCACACATCAGCAGCCACAATCACAGTGGGAGTGAACCCACACACACCTGTATGTATGAAGGTGTGCTTCTTCATGTCAGACTTCTGGTGGAAGCGCTTGCCACAGTACTGGCAGGGGTAGGGCCGCGTGTCCGAGTGAATCAGCATGTGCGTGGAGAGCGTGGAGGAGCGCTTGAAGACCTTGTCGCATATCTTGCACCCGAAACGACCCTCCTGCAAAACAGCCAGTCAACTGCTAACCAACGCGTTTATTGTATTTTACGGAAGAGATTGTTGGGATTGTGTGTGTGAAGTACAACAAATATATAATTATGTGGTATTTTAAGTAGTACTTCTTTTGGCAATAGGTTAGCTCTTACCTTAACATTCATTGGGTGACCGAAGCTGGGGGCGTGGTCACTAGCGCTGGCACACGGAGCCAGCATGGCCACCAGTCTCTGTAAGTGAGTGTCCGCAGTGCAGCTGGCGAGGCAGCGCTGAGAGGACAAGCCACAGAGAGACGCGCGTTTGCCTTCACACAGCACCGGACACGTCTGGGATGGGCAGCGAGCTGCTCGAATCCCCCAGTACTCCACCCCAGATTGACAGACGACGTGCCGTGATTTTCATCCCGCATTACCTCACCGCAAAGACCGCAGCCGCCATTCCATCCAGGACCCAGCAACCTGAGCACCATCCTATCCAGCGTTTGCTCTTTCCCAGGATCGTGGTGGTACAGGTGTGACCAGGGCGACACTGTTGTAGGAGAGGCGATTCTGTAACCTGGTTTGTTTTACAGGGGTGGAAATGCATTCATTTAAGCACAGGACAGCTGAGCTCCAGCCCTGCAGGTACGTTAGTCAGGACTATGTGCTCATACCTGCAGACCAGCTTCTGTCAGGAACCGTGATGTCAACATGCAAACCCATGCTTGGAGTGGGGTCCCTAGCAGGGGAGAGCGCAGGGGACATGTCCCTTGTCCCTAGAATTGGCGTCTCCAGGGACCGGGTCTCTTTGACCCCATTGTGCATGTTTACAGGAGAAGGTGTCTGTCCTGTCCACGCTGTCTGCATAACATCCTGGGAGGATGTGTGAAGCAGGGTGGGTCCAGAAAAAATCTCGCCTCTCCAGGGCCGTGGCGTGTTAGACCCCGTTCTCTTACTCTTGACTAGAAAAGAGCGTGGCATGTTATAGCAACAAGAGGGGCACGGAGCAGGTCAGCGACGGAGCAGGAGCGCAGCAGAGTTCTGAAATAAACACACAGGGTGCATTAAGCGTTAAGACACGAACCAGAAGAGATGTAATATTTGAAATGCAAAATGAAAATTGTAAAAACCCAACCAAACGTGATATTTCATTAACATTTTTAATTTGTGTTGGGTGAGTGTTTACAATTGTCTTTCTGCCGATAGAGGGCAGAATTGCGCATATTAAAAAATTAAAAAATCAAGTTTGCAATTTTAAAAGTTAATACATGTCGACGGAAATGCAAAATGGACGTATTGCAGGAGCCATATACGACAATTAATATATATTATATAAACTTTTGAGAACAATTTTCACATTAAAACTTGAAAAATGTATTGAAAAAATATGTATATTTGGTGTATTTGTATGTATGTAAATTATAACATAGCTACAATCATTTTACATTTTACCACACTACATTCATTACAACGAAATTATAATTAGTAATATTAAATAATAAATATTCCATTGAATTATCGCTGTTAAAATGTAAACATTTCACTTTTTTTTACAAAATGTAATCAACAAATCTTTATAAAACTATTACGTTTATATTTCTGTTCTTCTTTGTACATTTTAATTAAATCAACTAAATGTGTAAACTAAATCACTTGACACATTGCAAATATTAGCCTGTATGTTACGAACTTGACGGCTTTATCAATAACTCTTTGAAATCTCTACCACTGCGGTGTAACCTCAGCAAGAAGCATTAGATGAGCTGGCATACCGTCCTTTAACGCGCAGAATGACCGTGAGAAATACAGTCACACTTCTTGACCTCACGGGTGCAGCGACCTACTGGATTCCAATAGCACTTAGTCTATGTTTTTCACTACCACAAGAATTGGGCTGCGACAACAACACCCTATTCAGAAAGTCTGTGGTCATTACATGAATCTTTTGCAAAATGTGGTTTCGTTTAAGGACACACATCAAAATGGCATTTTTAGAGAAATTACTTAAAACGTAGAAGTGCCACAGAAAGCATCAACCTGCCGCAAGAAACAATGTAACCATACTCTGTCTATATGATACATTATTGTTGGTTATCTAGTTCTTTTTAAACCCTATTTAGAGGTGTGAATTTTCTCAAGCAGATATAAACTTACACTTCAAGCAGAAATGTTTCGCTATGTTGGGGAAACTGTAAGATTCTGTATATACAACTTTGTAGATAGATACTCTCCCGCTGAAGGGAACATCCGAATTCCACCTGGTATTAAAATTGCCACGGCATTACGGTAATGCCCAGTTTTCTTATATTGACATGTGATGTTATTTGTAACTATACTATGGTATTTAAATCATGCTTGTAAACATAAAGACAACGGTCAAACTTTCGGCTTTCAGATGAAAATCGGTACTTGGCATGTAGAGCCGACCCCTTGCAGAATCGGTATTTGCGGTCTCTTTACAACTTATTTCTATTATGTTGCCCGTTGCAAAAAAAATATGCATTCCCTATATACATTTAATGTATGCGTAAACAACAAAAAAAGAATCTATTCAGGCACATACATTGGATGCTACTGGAATAATTTAGTAGGAATATTGACATTTTCATTAAAGTTACTAAACAGTTTATCATCAATTTTCAATATGCAATGTAATTTATTTTTCTTTTTAAACTAATGTTATTATGACAGTCTGCTAGTACCTTTAGATACAAAAAGATAGATATTTAACTAAAACGTTCCTCCTTTATAATCTCTCCAGTTTATAACTATTATTAAAAGGGTAAAGCAAAGGTAAACGTGAATTAATACTGAATAGTCCATTAAAAGTAACATGGACTTGCCGAATTAGGGGGGAAATGTCACTTACCAGTCTGCAGAATGTTATCGGCATCGACAGACTTGCAGGCGCATTAATAAAATAAAAATATGGACATGAACCAAATTATTTTAAAACTACTATTCCGAGATAAACGTAGATGTCATACACACGCCCTATTTTTTTCCCCTTTAAGTTGATACCTAACTAAATAATGTAGTAGCCTCCTGTCGGTCGCGGAGATGTCGCCGGCTCGCCTGGGCACGAGACCAAACTGGTGACCGCGCACACACGTGCACGAGGCAAACTCTTGAGTGGCTCGCGGGGCTCGCGCTGGCCCCGACCTCAGACCGGCGGCGGCTCCGCCAGAAGTCGATTGCATTTCTATCGCTTCAAATATCTTTACATACGATGTCCCAAAATAAATAAAAAACCCCGCATGTCAGAACCCTAAAAGACCTGTGCTTTGATGACTTTCCCTACGATTATGCTGCTTTTAATACTTTGGTGAGAGTCTACCAGAAACCAAAAAATGCGATGAATCTTACATGCACATGCATATAGCCTAACACAGAAGGGGACTTTTCTTTTTGTGGCGCCTTTTGACATTGTAACGTATTGTTCATGATATCATTCGCGTTCTGTCCAGTCATTTATGAAAATGCCAAAAAAGGGAATACAGAGTTGTCAACTCTGGTCAGCTGGCTGGCGTGAGATGTTAATTTCGAGACAAGTCTGCATACACATTCACAGGTATGTAACAGTTTTATTACCTTGTAAATAGTCAGTAGGGTTTGCAAACTACCCCAATGCCTTTGAATGAGCTAGTTTTAGGTTTGTAATGGAATATAGATTTGCCGTAAGATTTCTTGCGTGAGCGTGAGAGTCTGAAAGCGTGAGCGTCACGCCAGATGCGGGAGAACTGGCAGCCCCGGGAATACGCCAAGGTTAATGTAAGGACATGTCTTTTCACAGTTATAACTGTTGAAGGTGGGGGGGCAATTGGAAGAAACGACGCAAAAGAAAACGTATTCGTTTATGAGACTTTATAGTATTGATTTTATTTAATGTGACACTGTGTACAGAACACCGAAATACGCCATGAATATCGTCATCGTCGATGTTATCCTCATCATCATCACAATCGGAATAATTTCCATTAAAAAACCACATGGCAGTACTGCAAGTGAGAGGGCAATATCTAGGTTATTTTTCGGATACCAGGCTCTCAATTTATACCACAAAATCAAGCATCATAGCAGCAAATATGTAACAAATAAATATCTCTAACTATACCCATTATTGCATTACTGTTACAGTTATGACATGGATGACATCAGACGACCATCCCTCCTTGTAGCACTGAAGTGACTGGAATACTCTGGCAGAATATTCTGACTCAGGTCAATATGGAACCTTTCAAGTTTCCAAAATTTCTAAACAGCTGCATGGTATTGCAGCACACATGAAGGGAGAGACACTTCACAATGGTGGTAGTACATAGCTCTCTCCCCCCGAGATCTGAGAGTACTGTTATGATGCAGGGGTGGTGAGGGGCATGCCTAAGTGCTAAGCACTATTGCGTCACCCCTCTTGCTGGTTTGAATCACCCCTCCGCTGCATATGTGGAATTTGCATTTCCCATGGGCTTCCTAAAGGTACTTCAATTTCATCCGACAGTCCAAAGACAAGCGGTTAGGCTAATGAGGCTGAATTGCTCACGGTGCATGACCGTAAGTGTGTGTCTTTGCCTCGTGCCAATTCTATCCTGCCGTAAGGGAGCGTTAAGGCAGAACCATTCCAAGGGCCATAAACAATTTGGAGCATAATTGCATTGGTCTGGCTTCGGGGCCCAACATGATATGGTTTCGTTGGGCGCGAAATCTCTAGAGGTACCTCTGCCTGGCACGCCCACAACCCCGACCAGATCAAGCAGTTAGAAGACAGATATGGATGTCTGGTTTCCAGCCATCGACATATTTTACCCACACAGATCATCAGGAAACCACCAGCAAGGTGAAGTTTGTTGATACATATCAAACCGCAGCCTTGTTTCAGCAACTTGACATCCATCTTGTTTGACAAGCATCGCCAACAGCGGCCCAACCCGTAACTTTCAGAACAGTGAGGTACTCAATCATGGTCACATGGAGCTTTCAGTTTTTTGGCAGTAAGTGACAGAATGGGTGAGCAGCTTTAGGCACAACTGAGCCAAGAATGGTGGACACATCTGCGAGGACTGTGTGCTCAGATTGGAATAGATGTTGACCTACATTAAAAGGAAACCACAAAATCCACACAAATATGCTGACAAAAAAAGCCCCATGATCCATGGAATTTCTAGTCATTTGAACCTCTTTTGTAGAATATGATGTTAGACATCCATCCATTCTGCACACATTTCTGGTCTCTTTCCAGTATTTGTCTTCCTTCTTCATCAGCCACTGAATCTGTCAGTCAGTTCAGATGTTTACATTAATTATGTGATCTGTAGATACATAAAACTAGCACAAAAAAAGGACATACAAGCAGATCCAGAAACAGGAGTAGCTACAACAGAATCAGATGGCATCTTTATAGATATCAGGATACGACACAGGAATAATACGTCTTCATAGACTCCTCATGAAATTCCAGTTATCATCAGTTATTGCACAATTGTTGTACAAGTGAGAGCAGATCTGTGGTACAGGTGGGTAGAAGCCTAACGGCTGATATGGTAAAAAAAAAAAATCCCAAGCCTTAATAAACAGTACAGAGGTGGATAATTCAGGTCCAGAAAGTAAATATCCAGACCAAAATTTTGTATCAAACAACTAGCTGAGTATAAAGAATCACAGAGTACTCCAACTAGTTGGTTGAAACAAAATCTTGGCCGGGATATTTACTTTCCGGATCTGAACTATCCAACTCTGAAACAGAGGATCTACTGCTGCCACTGTTACCTGTCGGTGCCAAGTCAACCAGCCAAGCACTGTGACTTTTACACCACGTCTGTGGTAGGAGATGATGGATACCTGTTCTGGGGGTCGACATTTCCCCAGCAGTGAGCTTTCACAGAACCACACGGGGGGCCCGAGCGCCTTGCAAACACGCAACACCCACAGAAACCTCAGTCTCTCTCAGAGCCAAGCTGGCACAGAGCAGCAAGGAAGATAAGGAGTCAAAAGTCTGGCTTAATGTCACGTAATCATAAATATATCTATACAGATATAAAAATATACAAGTAAATAGGAGTGCATATATATGTAAGAGATTTGGCAACGTCTTTTACTGATTATATTACAGGTGGTTATCTTCTGTCCATTGACACAAAAAACGGATACAATTAAATAAGAATATAGAGGTGCTTGTAATGTATGTATATCTGCAATCCATAGCAATACAGTATACAATCCCCACAGATAAATAAATATATTTATTTGCACGTTTAGGCATGAGGTCGTGCTTTTCATCATCTCTCCACATGGCAGGAGTGTCCACAGTAGACGCTACAGTCCATTTGACGTGGAGGGGGGTGGGCAGTAGTGGTGGGGGGGGGGTCCCGTTCAGTGGGACGCTGGATCATAGAAGAACACTGAGCACAAGGCAGCGCTGGGGTGTCCTAGCAGCCCCCCCCCCAGAACCCTGTGCTCTTTCTGTGCTTCATCTCCATCTTCAGCCAGGTGGAAACTTCTAGTCCAGGAAGAACAAGACTAACCAAAAAGAGTCAAAGTCACAGAGTATGCAATCAGTTTGTTGGAACGAAATCCTGGTCTGGATTTGTACTTTCTGGACCTGAACTTTCCACCTCTGACAGCCAAGCCTTGCTGGAGCCTCCTGCTCCGGAGTCGTTAGACAGTGGCCAAGTGGGGGGGGGGGTTTCATTATGAAGGAACGTGAAGACGCCGCAGCACTCCAGACGACACTTCAGTGATCCAGGGCCTCAGAGCACACCATTCCAGCATACGGGGGTGCTGGGGGCTGGTCGTTCACAGAAATACACCCCTCCTCTCCGTCACTGCTCCCCTCGCTGTCCAGGCGCAGGGAGGACCGGTGGCTCACCGCCAAAGAGTCATAGAGCATTGGGGCCGGGCCAGTGCCGGATGGCGGAGCTTCTGCAGAGCCGAGAGAGTCACACTCACCAGAGGCCCGACTGGTGAGACAGAGGTTCTGCAGCATCCCATTTCCTGGGGCCTGACACCTGGGCGGCTGTCCACGCAGCTGCCTGATCTAAATGTAAAAAGATATGTTGCAGAAATCCAGTTATCATCACAAACCAGTGTTTAATCATTATAGTGGTTCATTGTTGTGGTTTGTCATACATAGCACTCACAGAAAGTCTTGCTTAATTCTGTCACAATGTTGCAAATTTATTGGTTTCATAACAAAAGTCCATTGACAAGCAATATTTAACATACCTGCACATATCTTCTGCATGGACATTTTCTTTTTATTAAGCATCATAATTTATTTTGACTCATTCAGTTCTTACCATTTTGCTATTAATTGCAATTACAGTGACTGGCTCCAAAAAGATACTGAGCATGAATGTCTGGTGTTTTATGTTACTGTAACGGTGTTACTAATTAAAAAGCACCCAGTGATGCTTATCAATCATCTTTTTACTCAGAGCAGCTCTTTCAGAACTATAATTTGGTTTTTGGTTTTTTACTGCTTGAAATTAATGTTTTACTTAAAACAACTGGTTGTTTCTAATGTGAGATATATTATTTGTATATAAAAGAATAAGATAATGATTTTTTTAATGTAACCAATAGTGAAGAAGATGAAGACCTCATCCTTCAGCTCTGCAATCTGCTCATGAAGCTCAGTGACACTCTCGATGGAGTCTGAGTGGATCAGCTGGTCCTGGATTCGGCCCTCCTCCTCCTGTGGACGGGACACAGAGCAGCGTGACGGGTATGACATGGACACACGCACGCCGGCACACACACGCCGGCACACGCACTCAGGACGTGCCGCTCTACCTGGATCTCCAGCTCTGAGATCCTCTGCTGCAGTTCAGCCACCAGGGTCATGCTCTCCGCCTCCCGCAGACGCACCTCCATAAGCTCCTCCTTCCCCTGTCACATGACCGAGACCAGTAGGTCACATGATCACCACAGTTTCCACCTAGACCAAAGGTTCTCAATGTCCAGATCGTGGTATTGAAAATTATTCCCAAGCTCTGACTGTAGACCGTTGATCAAAAACTTTGAGAACCCCTGTGACCTAGACCAACTTAGGCACAGGTTACATGATCAACTGACAGATGACCCCAAGCACCCAAATTACTGGACCACAAGCCCAGTGACAACTCTGGTGCTGCTTCCTGCTCCTTTCCAGTGCATGTCAGTGGAAAGGCTCCTCAGCACCCCCGCCCCCCCCGCCACGTGTCAGTGGGCTGACCTTATATTCGGACTCGGCCTGCCTCCTTCTCATCTCCCTGAGCTGCTCCTGCAGGCTCTCCTTCTCCGCCGTCAGCTCCCGCACCGTCTTCTGCAGCGCCGTCCCTTCCTGTGCCTGCCGGTTCGCCAGGTTACTCTGAATCTGGTTCTGGTTCCGGACGGGAAGAATCCCATTTAGATTTACCGCCAAGCTGCTAGCGCGGCCGGAGCTAAAGCGCACCCTGTCTCCGCCGAAGCCTCTGCAGAGGGCGGCTCGCCTGAGACTCAGAGCCACCTGCCTGGTCAGCAGCCTGTAGCCCAGGTAGCAGGAGGAGTGGGAGCTCACCTGTTTCTCTAGCTGCAGGGCAATCTGCCTGAGCTCACAGAGCTCAGCCTTGGCCTGGGCCTCTCGCTGATTTGTCCCCACCAGCTGATCCTTCAGCTCATTGACAGCGTTCTTCTTGGGCGACTCTTTCCAGTGACCAGCCCCGCTCCCCCGGGCCATGTAATGCTGAGGGCGGGGCCCAACATGGATATGAGTCACAGTTCAGCTACTGAGTCACTGCTGAGTCACTACTGAGAGACTTCTGTCTACCAGAGTCACTCTGTCGCTGCCTTCAGTGAAAATCCCCAGGTTGTTTTCTCCTGTATTTTCTCACAGAATTTTCATATATCTCTGTTTCTTATGTTTCACACCAATGCTTATCTCTAGTGAGATCTTATTCATTTATTATAAATCCTTCTTGAGAGCAAATTTAGTGCAGTGACAACAAGCACGCTGAGCTACTGAGCTGCTCTTTGCTATTCTGAGCAGAAAATACATTTCCATCAGAAGTCACAGACAACTTCAGACACATTCGTTCCCTACAAAGCAGAATGGTGCAGAAGAACAAACACGTTTGCATATCAAACCCAACATACTCCGAAAATATATCAAAGAGAGGTACTGATCATTGACGGTTGATACAGTTCTGCTTCTGCAGCCATCACCCGTTTCCCAGAATGCCATGCAACGTGCCTGCCAGTGCTGGTTGAGCTTGGCCACGATGTCCTGCACATCCTGGAAGCAGCGCAGCGTCTCCAGTTCCTGCAGCTTGGCCAACTCCAGCTCCTCCTGCAGCTGAGTGACGTTCCTCTCGTCTGGCAGGGAGCCGCTCCTCTGGAACACGCAGACACACGCACACGCACACGCAGGAAACACACAGAAACACGGCTAAACGCAAAGACTCGACACCAGTGCACTGGGACCCACACGCGTGATTAAGGTTTCGCCCCACGAACTTACAGGTGTAATGAGAGAAACCAGAAGTGTGTGTGAGCTAAGACAGTGTCTCTCAGTCCGGTCCTCGGGGACACACAGTCGGTCCATGTTTTTGCTCCCTCCCAGCTTCCTGCCAGACAGTCCACATTATTGCTCTCGGGTAAGGAGCTGGGTGGGAGCAAAAACGTGGACTATCTGAAGGTCCCCGAGAACTGGATTGGAAAACACTGATCTTGGGAGCCATGGCTTAAGCTGAAGCAGGAAAGGAAGAGGGGATTTTGGGAGAGAGCAGCCCAACCGAGGTGGAAGGAGCAGTGGTGAAGGTCCACAGAAAACCAGTCGGACGAAGTCTTAAAGTAGCCCAGCCCCGTTTCAACAACGCTGAAAGCCGAAGGCGACTTCGGCGGCCTGTGGGCATCTGCGTGGACGCAAACCTTCTCCAGGTTCAGCACTTTGTCCTGCATGTCCTTCAGGGCGGCCAGCAGCTCGGCCTCCCGCCGACGCGACTGCTCCAGCTGGGCCTGCAGGCCGCTGACAAACTCCTCCGTAATCTGCAGGAGGGGCGGAGAGGAGAGCCGACGGGGTTCACGCTCAAGGAGGGATGAGGCGGGGGGCTTTCAAGGAAAAGGCGTCTGTGAAAAGTACATACACTTTCGGCAGCATCTCAAAAGAAAATGTTAGAGAGATAAAATGAGGAGGAATATGCCAAAGCTGAATCATATTACATTAGTCATCACTGAAGTTCAGTGACCTCACACCTTAGGGGCATGGGTTCAAATGTAAGCCATAGCATGAATTCCCTGAGTCCCTGAGTGACTGTGCCCTGTGATGGGTTGGCACCCCATCCTGGGTTGTCCCCTGCCTTGCACCCATAGGCTCTAGACCCCCATGACCATAAATAGGATAAACAGTTACAGAAAATGGATGTATTGATGAATTTCAATTGATGAGCACAGAAACAATTACACAGACATATAAAAATACATACTAATAAGAGCTATCGGTCCTCGACACATCGCACCTGCCCATGTTGTGTTATTCTTCAGGTTATTTTACCAACAGAAAACATTCGCCCATTTCCCAACCAATCAATGCACACCTATACAAATACACTCAGATATCAGGAAAACCACGGAAGAGAAGCCTAGACAAGCCCAGTGTAGCATCATTGGTGCGATAGTAGATCACTGGTGTCTGCTGCACGAATGATTATGTCCCTGTCCTCTCACAGTTATTAGTAATGTCAAAGGTACCTTAATTGACCCCCCCCCCCACGTGTTACAGACACACAAATGCTACCATTGTGCAGTACTGTGGTTTGTCTAGGCTATTTACCCCATGACTGAACAGATCATTATACTGTTATACTGAAATCAAGCAGATTTGGCCTTCTGAGGCTCTGGGAATATGGGGGCGCGGAGGGGAGGGCTCTGAAGAGAGCTGAAAATCTGTGTCCCTCCAGAATCAAAGAGCACATTTCCAGAACTCACTCAGTCGCTGGGATACATTTCGGAGAAGATTCCTGTGCGCTTAGCGAGTTTTGGATATTTAACGAAAGTTCTTTACAGGATTACATGAAGACTGGATGATTTTTGCTCCCCCATAACATATGATGAGGAAGCCGAATCTTAGGACATTGGTGGTCGCACCTCAAAAAGAACCAAAAATGGACTGAGCAAGTTGGCTGGACTGGAGTGTAGATGGTCAGCAGTGTCTCCCTCTGACCTGGCATGTGATCTATGCTGCTGAAATGTAGCAAATAACAGCAACAACGAAAAAACACAAAACGAGACAGAATGCCCAGAGGCCTTTGTAGAAGTGATGGAGCGACTTAAAAAATAAATAAACCCTTTCAGTGTAGATAATAACGCTCCATGATGCTAACTTCCTTTCTGACTGGCGTGTCAAAATGTGGTCATCAAGGGGGCGTCGCATTCTCACAGTCTGCAGAATACGGTATTGATTCACGTTCTCCAGCCTAAAGCACAAAAACCCCCAAAAAACAGCAGCTTTCGTCATCCTTGTACATGCGAAGTACAGAGAAGAAGATCGCGATGAGAGCATCGACGCGGGGGGGGGGTGGCAAAGGCTTTCTAGAACTGCACTGGCTGTGGGCATTCAGGTCCACACCCTTGCGCTTTGTACTACACAGGCGGGTTTCAGATAGGGGGGGGGTCAGAAAACCTCAGGCCTTCCTGACGTGGGCCTCGCTCCTCCCCGCCAATCTCTCTATCCTTCTCTCTCTCTCTCTCTCTCTCTCTCTCTCTCTCTTTCTCTCTCAGTAAGTCTCAGAAGGTTCTCAGGGGCCTGGGGGCTTTTCCACATCAGGCGGGGGCTGCAGACAGTAGGTGTGTGAACGTCAGCCATGTACAAGCAACCAAAACCTCCTTTCTTAGAAACAATCGCTTCTTAAGGTAATTCCCGTGACACATAGAATAATAATGGAAGGAAAAAAAAATGTGGTCATTTATAAAACCTCAGTTTACAGCCCAAATTGAGTGGCTCCGGTAAATTCCAGCAGGCATGGCGCTTTACCAGGCCGGGTTCTTCATACTGGGAATCGTCTCAGCTTGGTTTTGCAAAATATCCAGTTTATTATAGCAAACTCTGAGCTGCACAGGATTTTATTCAGGGAAGGTTTAATTTCAAGGGGAGCTGCAGCCTTCTGGGGAAAATCCAAACTGCCAAAAGTTCAAGTCACCAGCCGCCAGGTCTGGAAGACACCGAATGAGTCAGAAGATGGGAGAGACAGGGAGGATGAGCGAGAAGGACACACACACACACACACACGTTGGTGTACCTATCTAAATGGGGACCGTCCATTCATTTCTATGGGAAAAACCCTAATCCCAATCACGACACCTATAACCTCTACCCATCCCTCACCTTAACCATAAGTAACCAACCCAAATACAAGCATTTTTACTTTTTTGATTGCATTCACAGATTTTTATAAAACTGAGGTTATCCAAATGGGGACCTCAAAAGATGTCCCCAAAAGTAGGTAAATCCATCCATCCATCCATTTTCCAATCCGCTTATCCTACTGGGCCGCGGGGGGTCTGGAGCCTATCCCGGAAGCAACGGGCACGAGGCGGGGAACAACCCTGGACAGGGGGCCAGCCCATCGCAGAAGTAGGTAAATTTCAGGTTTTACTACACTTTGGGGACAATTTGGTCCTCAGATGTGATCTATGCAAACCCACACACACACACACACGTGTCAGGTAATCATATCTTTATGGGGACCGCTCATTCATTTCTATGGGAAAAATGCTAACGCTAACTATGACAACCTTAACCCCCACCCAGCCCTAACCATAACCATAAGTAACTATGACAACCTTAACCCCTAACCAGCCATAACTATAACCATAAGTAACCAAGCAAAATACAAAAGTTTTTGCATTTTTAGTTTTTTCATTGCAGTCACAGCTTTTCATTAAACTGAGTTTTCCCTTATGGGGACTAGTTTAAAACTGGTATGCATCACTTTGTGGGGACATTGTGTCCCCATAAGGTAAGGTACACCCACTTACGAACACACACACACACACACCCAGCTTTGTAGGGACTCTCCATTCATTTCTATGGGGAAAACTCTAATCCCAATATGATGACCTAACCTCTACCCAGCCTTAATAACAAATTGTAAGCAAGTTGGCTTTGAAGGGCAGCCACTCATGGCGGCGCCCGAAGAGCTGGGGGTTAAGGGTCTTGCTCAAGGTCCCACAGATGTGCTGAGGCTGAGTTTGAACCGGCAACCTTGTGATTACAGGCACACAGGCTAAGGCCACTGAGCCACACAATGTCCCTTAAGTAAGCAGACAAAATATGAGACTTCTGGCACGTTTAGTTTTTTTTTATTTTTTTTTATTTTATTTTAATAAAATTGAATTTCCCCTTATGGGGACCTAAAAAATGGTCCCCACAAGGTTAAAATAACAGGCTTTTATCACATTATGGGGACCAATGTCACCATGATGTACTATATACATGCTTTTGGCTGTTGTGTGTCTGTGTATCTCCGAGCTGTGCGTGAGTGAGCACGCCAAGATGTCGGCATGTCCGAACTCGGCACCCTCTCTCGTCAGGATGCACCTTTGGGCGTGTGCACTTTCGCACGCTGCTTCTCTCGAGCCACTGCACCGCGGCCTCCGGCATGCAAGCAGAGTCTATTTTATTTGAATTTTATTTTTCTGGTGAGGTATGTGGTTTCACACGCTCAGAAATCTCACAAGCTCCCATGTGTGGAACAGGGTGGGTGGGGTTTTTGAAAAGAGTGGTTCACACTTCAGTTTCATCGCAGCTTCTTTTAATGATTTCTATTTTTGAGTCTTACTAAAGGTCGAGATTTCGACTTAGTGTCTTGAACTCGAACTACTGGAATCTTCAGAGGCGGAATTTAGAGTTAAGGCACTTGTGTGTTTCTGTTGGTTACGATTCGCCTCTGAATGCACCTGGAACAGATGACTGGTTCTGCACTTAAAAATCAGTGATGTTTGCTTTATTAATGGCTGTTGCTCTGTTTATAAAGTAATATGCAGCGCGGGCCGAAGACCCCAAATATGAATCGCCAGTTTTGAGCTGTTCGACAGCAGAGCTGGGCGCTGCTTCGCTTATCTCGCACGCTTGCCGTGTCCTGCTTTTCATTGTGCCAAAGCCGGAATCGCCAATAATGGGATCAGCAGCCACACTCTGCTGCTCCATCCCCTGGCTGTGATCCGAAACCCGGCGTTTTCAAACGCTCCGCTTGGAGCTGCCCTATCACCGTGTACATACAGCCCACAGAATGAGAGAAGGTCTTTGCAAAGGTCTGCAAACGTCTTGAGAAAATACCAGTGTAGTAAATCATAAATAATGGCCTCAAGTGGTTATCCTGCTTGAGGTTACTGATTGGCTGTCACTGAAACAACATCTGTATTCCAATTTTATAAAAAATATTTTTGATCATTTTACCTATTTGTCATCTAAGGTACGAAACATTTTCTCAGCTGAGCGTGTAATTTTAAAAACTGTTTCCTGTTCGGGCAAATCTTCATCTTCATTGATTTCCTGTTTTTCTTCTGGAAATAATGTACATTTTTTTTTATCTTGGTACTGAAAAATATGGCCTTTTACTATTTCAAAAAATGTGCAAATATTCATATTAATATTTTTTTCCTCTGGTGTATGTGTTTTGCCAGGGTAAGTCCTTCGTAGGTTTACAGTCAATAATCCACAACCATCTGCCTTACTTATTATTTTTCTGCGTCTCGTAACTTCAGTTCCATCCCTTACAATAAGGACAGGTAGCATTTTTTTTTATTACTTGAAACAGCTCCCTAATAAAGTAATGTATCGAGCATAACATCTGATCTAAAGAACCAGTGCCTTAACTGAACTGGTGTGTATGTGTGTGTTTGTGCGTGTGTGTGTGTGTGTGTGTGTGTGTGTGGTTAAGATTGTCAGTGCTGGGATTAGGGTTTGGCCCATAAAAATGAATGGACGGTCCCCACAAAAATATGAGTATATGTCTGTGTGTGTGTGTGTGTGTGTGTGTGTGTGTGTGCAATGGACTGGCATCCCACCCCAGGTGTCACCCTGCACTGATAATGCCATTCGCTGCCTGGGATAGACCTCATCCCCCCCCCCCCCCCCCCCCCCCAACCCCCAAGGAAAAAAAAACTGATAGGTTTGCAATGCAAACCATTCAGGTTGATTCACACACACACATGCACACACACACACGCACGCATACACAATCCCAATCCCAGATGAAAGCATGTGATCAAGCAGACCAACAGACACATTTCTATACTCCTATGTGAGTATGCACAGGCCCGCATGGACCACAAGCCAGGGGAAAGCAGTTTCTTTTCATCTGCTGCTCAGCCCAGAAATGACCAGCAGGTGGCATAGCAGTTAAGGAAATTGTTGTAATAAAAAGATATAACTTGGATTACTGCTGGATTACTATAAATCAGTCTCTATGTTTTTATCCAATTATCTGTACAATTCTCAACTTTAAAATGAATTCTAATCTTATTTTGCCTTATAATAACACCAAGAGATGACATTTTGGGGTCATCGGAAGTCGGGATTTGTGGTATAATGGTGCACAACGCTGATTTGTAACCTGAATGCTACACACTCAAGTCCCCAGAGGGTTCTGCTGTCGGATCCTTGAGAAGCTGAGATGTTCCAGTTTTATATCCAGCTAAATTGCCGGCAGACCCGCAGTACCTGGTGCTGTTGCAGCTCTCGGATGGTACTCTGCGCCTTCTCCAGGCTTTCGCTCGCCGAGCTGCGCTGCTGCCGTGCCGCTGCCAGCTCCCGCTTGATGGCATAATTCTCCTCAGCCTCTTGGGCCCTCGTCACCTGGCCCTGAGTGTTTTCAGGCAGGGGGACAGGGGGTGATATGGCTGTGATGCAAAGTAGACTAGAGGCAAGCAGCACTGCATGCTTTAACACAGATTAGCCAGTAGAGGGGGAAAGAAGGCCCTAAACAACACCTTCCATGTAGGGCTTGTAGACAAACAAACACAGCACCCTTTATGTAGGTGGAGAGACAAACACAGCACCCTTCATGAAGGGTGGAGAGACAAGCACAGCACCCTTTATGTAGGTGGAGAGACAAACACAGCACCCTTCATGAAGGGTGGAGAGACAAGCACAGCACCCTTTATGTAGGTGAAGAGACAAACACAGCACCCTTCATGAAGGGTGGAGAGACAAGCACAGCACCCTTTATGTAGGTGAAGAGACAAACACAGC